ACCATAGTGTAGCTTCCTTTTTTTCCTAACCAGGGAGAAGAAAACGGTAAACCCTAACCCTAGATATGATTCTCCAGTATTGGGATGAAAACGCAAAGTCTCAGCTTATTGGCTTCAGCGGCTTGGCTCTCTCTGCTCAGGTTGGGTACAAGCCAGGCCAAACCTTAACCCCTGAACCCCAAACCCAAAACCTGATATGGGCTTAAGACCTGGCTAGGCGGTTCTCATCTAATTTCTTCCTGGGTTGATGTTTTTCGGCAAGCGATGATACTATACTACTCCAAGAGGAGGTACATGTACAAGCCCTGAGAGCATGCCCCGAACAATTACACACAAAAGCTTGCTCCCGTATCCTTGCCGGAGATAGATTTCAGCGTGCAGGAACTTAATAGGCTCATGTGAGGGCAGGCTAGACTCCTATGTTCAAGCTTTTAACCGAATCAACTCCTTAAAAGAGGTTATGCAGGAGATTATATGGGGGAGTATTATAGGGATGGATTATCTAGGGGGATACTAGATAGATCTTAAGCTTCAATCCTTGAAGCCGAGAACAACCCCCCCCTCCAAACCCTTGACAAAGCACACGCCTAAAACCTTCAGCCATAAATCCTAGATCCCTCGAACCTAGACCCCTTAAACATCAGAGCCACAACCCTCAAAGACCCAACCCCCCCACCCCCCACAAAAAGAGAAACAACTTAAACACGCAAGCCAACACACAATCCTAAGCAAACTGAAGCCTCTGATTCCTGACATACAGTAAAGCTCCAAGGCTGCATCAAATGCTGAGCGACTGTTTGCCTGCGACCTGTTCAGGGGAAGCTGGGGGCAACATGGCACTCTTCTGCATGGGGTTCCGGGTTTCTGAGGTTTAGGTTTCAGGTTTGAGTTCAGGATTTAGGACTTAGGGTACCCACCACCCTATTGTTGGTGCTAAGCATCCTGCGTGAATTAAGTTTCCTATCATGCCATAATTCCCAAGGTGTAGGCTAGTCAGTAGGGTCACCCATGTTTTTCAGTATCACCCCTATGAATCCCTACATAACCCTACAGTTGACATTTCATTCGCCATTGTCTTTTCAATTTGGTTCTCCAAACCCTAAACCCTAAATGAGTAGTATTGTATTTGGGGGGTACCCAACATAGAGTAAGTTTATATCCTCCTTTTGGGTGTCGCATTTTATACAGGGATCATAGTCTTACTAGGTTCAACCGCCAAAAACACGCTACTCAAATGCGTAATGCCTTTGATCCTGAGGCCGCCTTGCTGCAAATCTTGTCCCCTCGCGTAAAGCCTAAGTAGTTGATCAAGATGGGGTTTAGGGTTCAGGGTTTGGGGTTTGGGGTGTAGGGTTTAGGCTTTGGGGTTGAGATTGCAGAGCACAAAGGTGTGACATTTGGATAAATGCTAGCCCTGATGGTTGCCTACTGGCTTTTCCAGGTATCTCGGCAAGTTTCAGATGAGTAGCCTTCCCACATACACATAGTCTCCCCATATAAGCTGAACCTTAAACCTTGAATCCAAAGCCCTAAAACTTGACCGAAGAAGAACCCAAACCAGATGTCCTAAACTCAGTTCCAAACCTGGAAATCAGAACCCCCCAAATCCCGAAGCGTAATTCGATCCTAGACCCTAATCCCAAAGCTCTAAAGCTGAATCCCTAAACTTGCTGAGCCCTAAACCATTGTCCCTAAGTCCTAAAGCAAGAATAGAATCTTATAGGGTTTAGGGGTTTAGGGTTTAAGGGTTAAGGGTTTAGGGATTCCAAAGAAGCCCAAAGGCATGGCCTAGTCTTGGGCATGTCTGGCGGCGGATCCCGAGACACTGGGATTTATTTTGAGAGGGTCGAAGGCTTTAGGATTTACTGGGTTGCTGTTAAGGAACTTAAATTAAGTTACTATATTGAGGAAACCTTATTATTTACTATATATACCCATTATGGTAACTTAATTTAAGTTCCTTAACAGCAACCCAGTTTAGGGCAGGGTTTAGGGTTTAGGGTTTAGGGCTTAGGGTTTAGGGTTAGGGCTCAGGGACCCTAAGAACTAAACTCGAAACCCGAGAAGGATGCGGGATTTACGGTCACGGGTTTAGGGTTCAGGGTTTAGGATTCCGGCCTAGGAAGGAGAGTTTACGCTTTGAGTTGTTGATTTCTGGTACTGCCCCCACCCAGTAACAGTCAATATTGGGGGTCCTATTAAGGGCTATATATAACTATATCAGAATTATTATCCAACTGTTACTGAGGGGGGGCAGTACCCAATGTTGATTGTTTTCTTTACCAGGGCTCCACGTACCCAAGAGCTGAGAGGCTTAGGGTTTAGGGAGCCTCGGATTTTGCTCTGTGTGGAAGATGTATGAGATTGGCGGGCAACGGCCAACATACAAGTGTAGAATAATGTTCTTTTCCTTGTCTCATAATAAGCTTTGAGTTCCCCTAAGGGTCCAAGGACCCAAATGAAAGGTTTTTAGGGCCCAAATACTATAATATTGATTAATGGTATTTGGGCCCTGAAGCCCTATTATTTGGGTCCTTGGACCCTTAGGGTTCAAGTTCAGTTGAAGGTGTCGGCTCAACACTTGAATTGGTTCGGTTTGAGTGCGTCTGTAAACATACGCACGCTCCAAGTGTGATCTTGCAATATTAATAATTTCTTGCCCGGCCCCCGTTGTACTTAAATGTTGACAGTTTTACTTCTCTCCGCGACATTGTTGAGTGCTTCATATTGTGCATACTGAAAAATCCTGCATGACTCCAAGTACGTTATACCTTCGGAATGACTGTCTTGCAGTATATACTGCCCCCAGCGACTCCCCATGAACCTATGGTCCTCCCCCAGCCCTGGCTACAGCCCTGAGCTCAAACTCCCATCTCGAACCGTGTACGCTCAGCGCCGTCAAGATTCTAGACCAGAAGCCCTAAAGCCATGAGCGCAAAATTGAAGCACCTCTCCTCCATCCCCGAGGAAGAGTATCAGATATAAAAAGTACATCCATCCCTGAACTCGTGCAACCCTTCAACGAAGGAAAGCTTCAACAAGAGCCTCCAAACTTTCGGAGCATGGACGGCAGATGAGGTGTTCTACTACATGGAAGTCCTGTTGAAGGGGTCCTAGTAGGGATCATCTGGGGATATGTAGGGTTGAGGGATTGCGGTTCGGGGATTCGAGCTTAGGCTTTCCCAAAAAAATGGTGGCAACTTTTTGGGCGATGCTTGTACTGGGATGTTGAATGTATTTAAAGGTATGCAGGGGCCCAAACTTTTGCTACCAGATCTCATGTTGAGGAGGTCTGCAGGCTTGAGGTTCACAGTCTGTGGACAGCTGCTGGTCATTTTAAAAGGTCCAGCTACAGCAGCAGGTGAACATACATGGATGATGTAAGAGTTTCTGGTCACCAGATGGAGCTAGGAAGTAACTTCCAGGAATGACGCCTCACGGCAGTTTATTACTCTACATGTGTTGGAGTTCTCCCTTTTCTTGCATGCCCGTTCGTCAGCGTGCGCTCTGATAGAAATCCCGCCGTGATCCATGTTTTCCTGACGTCCTGGAACTAGTAAACTATTACTCTCATAGGGGCGTCAGTGGATTGGTACACAAACCCAGACCTTTGCGGCTTGTTGTTTCATTATGGGGTCTTACGCATGAGTTTACCCAATTGGAAAGTTTTCCCATCAAAAGACACATGGGCAAGCTCCAAACTCTAAACCGTAAACTCCCTCATCCCTAAACCCTAAACAAGCATTCCGCAAACGCAAAGGAGTGGAGCCAGCTGATGTCGCAGTCTTTGCGCGGCCGAGCCACTATTTAACCCCTTCTGTCCTACAGCATGCTGGCCTGCTGCCTGTGTCTGGGCCGTCTTTTTACCTTCTTGGTTGTTGGTAGGGAAAATGGGAATATGCTCCCAATATAATGCCCACACAGAATCTATTCCGTTATTCCCTACTAATCACCATGAAGCTTTGTGTCGTAGGGGTTTAGGATCTTCTTAGTATGTGGTGATGTCATCGAAGACAACAGAACACTTTGACAACTGCAAGATCTACCCAGGTGCGTTTTCTGTCCATTGACGGCGGGCATGACAAAGTTGCGGTCAGCAGAGATCTGCCACTTTGTTCCCCGAGCAGCACGTTTTCAACATCTCTTTGGGCGTTCAAACCATTGTTATTGTCTTTTGATGTGGTTTCCTGCTTTCAGTGAGCTTCTGATAAAAGGGCGCTGCTGCTGGAAGGTAAGCTTGCCTCTTTTCTCTGTCTTCAGCAGGCGTGCCCCTGCGAGGGTTGATGGATAGCCCTAAACCATGCACTCGTGACTGCCATTTGATTTCGGATGAACAAGGATGAAAGGTCAGCTGGGAAAGGGACATCAGTCTTCGCAGGGTCTCTCTTTGGGTTCCATGCTGGTTCGGAGGAATCCTAACCCTAAATACTAAACTTGAATCTAATCCTGCCCAACAATTACCAGGTCTCTTGCAGAGAAGGTGCTCGCTGAAGGCTCTGAAGCTCAAGTCCAGGAGTCTTTTGACAACCTTTTGTTTATTACTTAGAATCGTTTCTGTTCTTTTCGGGTTCGGTGGTCGAATTATGGAAGCCCACACTTGGTACGCACTGTACCTCAAGCGACACGAGATCTATGTTTCTTTAACACGTCCTATAGACCGCAGAACGGTCCAGGGTATGTACCTTCCCTATGGAACATCTGGCTTTGTATCCTAGGCCTAAACCCCAAACGCTAAAGCCTAAGCCCCAAACCCTAAATCCTAAACCTTATCTAATTTGTTAGGTGGCAGAAATTTGTCCTTTGAAACGTGTTTGTGTCCAGGATGAGGCTCAAGATGTCTGCCATCAGCCATCAGCAGTAGTTCCAGGTCGCAAGCCCTACAGCAAACAACAGATTGTAGAATTGCCCCTCAACCACCATGCCCCGCACCCCAAACCCGAAACCCAAGAAGCCCTGAAGGCGGGATCGCGGCTCTGGATGATTTTAGCAATGATCACTGGATGGGCGTGAGGGAGGGTTTCTTCGCGTACTCCTTCGGTCGTGAACGTGGGACAAGGCAACGCGCCCCAGGGGTTTCAGGATGTAGGCTTTTTTTTTTAGGGCCATCGGCCGCTGGAGTTCCTTGGAAGAATTGTCCAGGTTGCCGCACCCAGTATGCTTGGATTCTTAAAAGAATGCGGGTCGCGATGTTGGTTGGCTCCCTTGGTGAGCAAGGAAGCAGGCAAGCTTACGTGATGGGACCATCTAAGGTTGTACAGGTGTTTGATACTAAGAAGCTTCCCTGACCCTGAGTAGCCTAACCCTGCACAATTAAGGTACCATAGAGCCAATCTTACACAGCCTCAGTGGCCAACCATGCTTCTGAACAGACAGGCTCGCGCCGTTCCTGCTGGCAGCTAACAAGTTGTACCTGACAACTGCCAATCATCACTCCAGAATCTAGGAGTAATACCCTTTCTCCTTTTTATTTTGGGGTCTCCTTATTACAGCTGAAAAGTAGGAAAAAGGGTACACATATTGCCCTAAACCCTAAACCCTTATTAAGGGGTTACTGGGGAACCTAGGAATGCTGCGGGCGGTCCTGGATGACCTTGCAATGGTCAGAGCCAGGCCCCGGCTTCTTGATTATGAAGTCACCCTAAGCCTCAACCCCGCCGTTCCCATGAGGGTGGTTGTCAAAATTATGGTCCCCTTTTGGGTACCCTAAACATTGGGGGCCGTACTATAATAGGGATCCCAAAAGGGACCATAATTTTGACAACCACCCATGAGGCTCATAAACCCTGGATCCCTATACCCAAAACCTTATAATCCCCCTGTAAGTAGATAGAGTATAGCTTTGGGCTTTGGGTACATTATATTAAGATCCGCATATACCCCATGTTCTATCTACTTAAGGGTCTCTCTCTTTCTCTCTCTCTCTATATATATATATACACCAAAAGCTCTAAGCCCGTAAAAGCCCCTGGAGATTAATGGTACTGCCTAACGATGGCGGCCACGTCGGCGACACCAGAATTGCTGGTTGGAAGGTCGCCATTTCAAGTACCTTGGCTAAGGTGTGGCTCTGGGCAGAGCTGGGTTAAGGGTTTGGATGTGAATTTCGGAGTGAGACTGTGAGATACCTTCGTGCTGATCTTTTTCTGTGAAGTTGGTCCTCTATGTCCCTTAACAAACCCCAAACCTTAAAGCCCGAAACCCTAAACAACCGGGGCAACTGGTGGGGCAAAATTTGGCTTTCAGAGCATGACTTGGATCCTGCGACCCAGTCATTGCCCTAGAGCTCTTTAAGCGGCGCCGCCTTAAACCCTCAACCCTCAACGTGAGGTCCTTGTCAAGCCTTCTGAAGGTCCAAAACTATGTCAGCTATTGTCAATACTGGCCTTATTAAGGGAACCTCAACAGTGGACATGGGGGGTCCCTCTTGTGGTTCAGTACAGTCCCGAATCTAGTCCCTAATAGGGAACTAGGGAACCCGTGTGAATTGAATTATGGCGATATTTTGACTGTTGCTAATTTGTCAGTACAAAGTCCAATCCTGGAGAGCATCGTAACCTTGCAGGATAACAGCGTTTTGGAAGGACAGCCCTCGTTTTGTCGGTGCGTCGCTAACTGTCAAGCGCCTGAGTCCAAAGCTTGTGGACGTTCACACATCAATCTTTACTGCTCCACGCAGTCATGTTGGAATTTGCGAATTCATCCTTACGCAACCTTACGTGGAATCCTCTTGATCTCTTCCAAATTCCGGCACAAGTCTAGCGCTACTGTGCCCAGGGTACCCTCATTTCAATGAAAAAGCCATATAGGCGCATCTTGGAGTGTTCCGGAATTCCGTTTCAGAAGGCACCATCTTTCTGGGACTTAGTAGGGGATTTGGGAATCCAGAAAACAGGGTTATATAGGGATTAATTCCCTCCAACCATTAAGCCATACGCGTCAAACAGGCCCAGTTCTTTGGTCTTCAGCCTACGTACCATGCAACCTCCAAAGCGGCGCTTGCAAGACTACGGTCCTTCCAAGAATTCTAACCGGGGGTTGCATGGAATTCCGAGGTAGGTTGAGGTAGGTTTGGGTTTAGGATTTAGGGTTCAGGTTTTAGGGTTTAGGGTTTAGGGTTGCGGTCGCAAGTCCCCACACAGTCCTTCCGCCTCTGACAATACATTGGCGAGAACAAACTGCACACATTAGACAGGAAAACCGAATACAGTAGATGGTCCCTGCATAACTCTGGTGGGGGTGTGTATGATCGCCATGTATAGCGCTTGTAGAAGGTCACTATAGGGATACCAGCATGCTTAACATCCCCGCGCCCTTACATGAAACCTTCAGCAGATTACTGGGTTGCTGTTAAGGAACTTAAATTAAGTTACTATATTGGGGAAACCCTATGATTTACTATATATACCCATAATGGTAACTTAATTCAAGTTCCTTAACAGCAACCCAGATTATGGGATGTAGAGTTTAGGATTCACAGCTTCGGAGTGCGTAGGAAATTGAAGTGATAAACAAACTACCTGAACCCCAAGAGTATGTAGAAGAATGGCCTTTTGGGCTATGTCTAGGTGTTTGGGGCTATCATTTTACCTACTTTTGGGGTTCAGGTACCGCCAGCAGAACCAACACCCTGCAGATCCAAACTGTTCAAACCACCATGCGGATCACTCGTGGGACATAGCAACGCCTCAACGAGACCTTGCAAACTAAGCTTAGCCAACAACTTTGCAAGTTGGGGCCCCACGACATATTTACGACATATTTGGCTCCGATAACTTTCTAGGGGTTGGTCCTACCAAAATCCTCTGATCTTCGTTGACCCTGGCCCTAAGCCCAGAATATGGCTGCTTGAAAAAACAGCCGAGGTCAAAAATTGGACATGCAGGGAAATCAGCGGGCCGTGCTGTTTCTAGCATGGGACACTTTGACCTACTTGGAGCAGAGAAAGCTAAAAGAAGAAGCATCTCCGAAGAATTACCCGACTGGTTCTGAGTAGGAAGTATATTGGGGTTATATAGAAAAGAAAATTGGAATCTACTACGTTCTCATAGGGTAGATATTGGTGGTTTATAGTAGGGAATACGGGGTAGGGAAGAGGGGGCAGGGACTAAGGGAGTGTATTCCGTATATAAGCCCCATATACTCTAGTCCTATATTTCCTACTTAGCCCCAGTAATTTACAGCCAGCCTGAGTAGATCCCAGAACTTCGCATGTAAGGTTTTGGAGCTGAGGGTCTGACCATGCAGGTCCATATCGAGAATATTCGGACTACAACCCGATATATTCCCTGAAACCAAACCCCTACATGACGGATGTATTGCCAAATTGCCACTCCAAACCCTAAACCCTAAAGCCTTCAGACAGGAGCGCAGAGGTACTAGTACCTGTGATCTTTCACCAGGGTGAAACCCTAAGCCCCAACGCGGGGCGCCATGAACCGTAAACCTTTGGAAGCCCTTCGCGCTTACCCATCTTAACCCTGCAAGGGTTTAAGGTTGAGGGCTTAGTTTCGGGTTTAGGGTTCAGGGTTTAGAGCCATCTAAACCCTAACCCTACAAGTTCTAACCCCCAAATCCTAGATATCCCAAACCCTGAATCCTGTGAAAGCATAACCCTGAACCCTGCGGAGCCCAACTCTGCGCTACTAACGTTCGCACAAACCCGGACAACTTATGGCAACCTCACCCGACCTAATGCTGCATGACGATTCCTAAGCTTTCAGATGTGGGGCGTTGTAATCTCAATTTCGCCGGATGAAGAAGTCCAGTACGAACCTTTAGTGCATAGACCTGATGCAGGCGGTCGCACTTGAAACCAGGTTAAGAGTTTGCTGGCATATTGTGGCTCAGTTTTTCTACTTAACAGCACCCCAGCTGGGGGAAATAGTTGAAAACATTTTTTTTGGATTTGGAGTCGTTGGTTTCGCTGCAATACATGTTGCTTCAACAATACCTCAAAGCCCGATTCCTGTTCTCTGAGCCACCGCATTACACCCCTAGAGGCACTAACGTCTTCAGGCGCACTTAGTAGAGAAAAAGGAATGCAATCCGTGCACAATCCCTATATATTATATCCCATGTTCCCTACCAACCCTAAACCCTATAATGTAGTCCCATATCCCCTACTAAGAACCATTGGGTAATTCAATTCAAAACTAACCTGCAGCAAGTGGGGGTTTCCCAAAATTAGGGGTATTCTTCTGCAGATCCCCATAATAGGGATGAGAGTATATTGGGGTCTATATTGGGGTTCCCGTATTTTGGGAAACTACCACGTGTCTTAGCCGTGTAAAGCGTATCAGGCCTTGAAACTCCGAAGGCTGCAGAGCTCGAGCCCACAAAGCCCTAAACCTAAGGTATAAGGTTTAGGTTTAGAGTTTACTAGGGTTTAGGGTGTACCTGGGTTTAGGTTTAAGGTATATCTGAACCCCAAAAGTATGTAGAATGATGGCCTTTTGGGCTGTATTCAGGTGTTTGGCTCTTTTTTTTCCTACTTTTGGGGTTCAGGTAGGGTTTAGGGTTTAGTAGGGTTTATGGCCCACAAAACCCTAAATCCTGAACCCTAAACCCTAGCCGTTACAGACGACCTGCACTCTCGAAACCCTGTGAACCCAAAACTCACAAAAGGTCCCCATGGCCCGAAATCCTACCAGTGGCACAGATGAACCCTAAGCGCCAATGCACCTTGCCCATAGACCCATAGTCGAAACTCCTTGAAGAGGGTTGCAACAGGGATGATCTAGGGGAGCTTGAAAGGGCATTGCAGGGGATACTAGGGGTTAAGACTATAACTCATAAGGCCCGTAGCCAGTGGTGTTGATCTATGTTCCTGTTTTTTTTTGCCATGTTATTTGAGGCAACTACACACACTTGCTGAATCCTAAACCACAAACTCTAAACCTCACACCTAAATTCTGTTTTCCGAGCCCTGAACCTTGGACCATACACACCAGATACTATCATTAACCCTGCTTGCAGGACGATGCAGCAAGTAGGTTGTAGATAGGTTAGAAGTCCCATAACCGGGGTTGGCCTACTTAAATCTTATATAGTCCCTAGGCCTCTGGTGAGCAAGGAAGGAGGTCCACGAGTCCTTTTTTCATCCCCCAAGAAACGGTTTTCATTGCGCACCGGAAGCAAGCAAACCACTGAACCCTAACCCCTAAACCCCCAAGCCCCAAAACCCAAAAAATCCTAAAACCCCTAAATCCCCGAACCCCTAAACCCAAAAAACCCTAAACCCATAAACCCTAAGCCCCTAAACCCCTAAACCCTAAGCCCGTGAACCCAAAACCCATAAACCCCAAAGGTCCGCTTGGCCTCTTCAACGCCTGCATCATGCCACCTTGCCTGCATTTCGTGTCTTTGGAGAACGAAGTTTCTGGGGCATTGGGGCACTTAGGGTCTAAAGTTTAGGGTTTCTGGGGTGTTGAGGGGATTTAGGGTTTAGGGCCTAGGGTTTCTGGGGTGTTGGGGCATTTAGGGTTTAGGGTTTCTGGGGGGGTTGAGGAATCTAGGGTTAAGGCACTTAGAGCTTAGGGTTCCCTAAGCCACAAACCTAACTTGCAGAACTTCCCAAACCAGACCAGGCGCTCCAAAAAACCTTCGCTTGGATTTAGGGTTTAGGGGTCTGGGATGTAAGTAGGTTAGTGATTGAGATGATTGGCTAGAATTATTACGTTTACTTACTACGGTAAGCCCCACTGACCCGTCCAAGTACACCGTTCCCATAACATGAAAACCCTTTGCAATTTCGAATAGGTGGTTGTCAAAATTATGGTTCCTTTTTGGGTACCCTAAATATTTGGTGCCGTATTATAACAGCCAGAATTTTGACAACCCGCCAAAGTGATGAGGACATATAAGGACCATGCCTCTTTTTTCATGGGACCCTATACCAGCTCCACCTCAGCGCTCGCCAGAAACCCTCCCAAATAGCGTCCCCAAATGAAGCTTAGTTCGCGTTTGCTTGCATTTAGAGAGTCTTAAAAGGTGGATGTGGCATAGGATGCCATGGGTGTGGAGTTTTCATGTAGTGCTAGAAGTAT